AGCTCTGCTGCTGCTGGGGTCTCCATGCTGGGGAAACTGGCCACAGTGACACAGATAGGGGCTGCTGGGAAATTAAGTCTGCTTCAGGCCCAAATCTGGAGCCAGACTTTGCCCACCCCTGCCCTAGATGCAGGCTATACAGAATTCGCACAATCTTCCCCTTAGTTAAGAACACGGAGAAACAGATAATCGGTCCCCTTAGTACTAGGTAGTAGCTGAGACTCTTGAGGGCACAGGACCTGCACAACTTCTACCGAGTCCCCCCATTAGGCTGGAGCTTAAGATCTTTTGCCCCAAAGCACCTTAGTGGCCAGTGTATAGCAAATCAGTTGCCCTATTTGGGCCACAAGCAATTCCTGCTTTCAAGTTCAGGGACTATAATTCTACCCCCCAAAATGGTCTGATTTTCCTATATAGGAAATCCCTAGATAACATACAGCACATGATGCAGGTTCTAATCCATCCTTTCCCAACCCCAGGCAGAGAGATATATGCTTGGGAAGGCACATGGCTAGAGCCACTTGCACTTGCCATTTCCCTGGTTATCATTTCAAAGTTTCAGGGCTGTTCTTTGAACTATGCTGGGGGCTAAAACAGCCTTTGTCCACTCCCAAAATTTGAGAATTGCAAAGAAGGGTAAGAGAAGCTGAGAACTGAGGTGCAGATTTTTTAAAAAGGAGGTACCAACTGACACATACAAGTTAATCCATACACACACACACACACACACAAAAGTGAAGGAATAATATTATACATCTAAAACTGAAAATAGAGAGAAGTCAAAAAGGAATAATACAGTTTTTTTAATCCATTTCGAGAAAGGGTAAAATATAACATTGATGGCAAAGGGTAGCAAATCAAAATCAGTAAATATGAATACAATAAAAGGCATAAAATGGCAAGTCAAAATAAGGTTTGTACCTGGTCCAAGTGTGAATTTAGCCAAGATGGTCTCTAATTACCTCTTGGTTCTGCAAGGCTAAGTACAGACAGTTAAAAAGCCCAAGGCTGAACCGATTTTAACCTTTGTAGGTTGGTCTAAGCTGTATAGATTTAACCGATAAGTAAATGAAAAGATATTCACTTTTTAATGTGGAAATGCAGCTACCTGCCTACAGTGGTCCAGGCCAGAAGCTGCGGAGGGTGGGGGAGCTACAGCATACCTCTCTGCTTGGCTGGAGCAGACAGCTTGGGCCAATGCTAACCCACCCACCCTGCCCAGTTGGGGGGGGGCCCCCCCTGGCCGGGTGGGGGGGGGGGGGGCGGGATGTATAGAGCATTCTGGGATGCTGGGGGACTGTGGGTTAGCTTGAATCTGGAGCGGATCTGGGACAGAAGTTCAATAAACTGATTTAACATAAATCCATTAAGTCTGATTGTAACAGGAAGGCGGTCAGGGTCCCCTGTCACCTCCTTTACCATGTCTTGTTGCCTACTGGCATCCTCCGATTCTTGTCCGCCACAACTTTGATCTTATATATTTTATAGGGAGGCTGCCTTTGGCCTTCTGGTACACGGTTGTCCTGTTATCTCCATCCTCTAGCCTTATGGGCTATGCATGGCTCCTACCACCCCAATACCATGCCCCAAGCCTCGCAGATGTCCCAGACATTATTCTGACCCTCTCTCTATCTTCACACCCTCTCTGGCGCTCAGGCTCTCCGCAGCCCCGTCTCTCACTCTCTCTCTCCGCGCCTGCTCTCCGGGGCTCGCTCTCTCTCTCTCTCAGTATATCCGCCCTTCTCAAAAACGCCGCCCTTCTCTCGGGCTCACCACGCCCACACAGGGCTTCTCAGCTACGCCGCCGTTCTCTCAGGGCCTTCTCAGCTACGCCACCCCCTGTTCAGGGGCTCACCACCTGCTGCCCCCTTTCTCTGGGGCTTCTCATCTGCCCCTCTCTGGGGCTGGGGTCTATGCACCCCAAATGCTGCACCCTCACTGGTGCTGGGGTCCCCACTCTACTGTGAGTCCCCTATGAGGCCTCCTCCAACCCCTAATAGCCTCCCCCAAGCCACCGGTATAACAAATAGCAACACAACACAAGCCTCTTGGCTATAACATAAACATAAGCCGCCTGGCCATAACAACATTGAGTCCTACCAGGGACCCTTTCTCTCTCTACAGTATAAGATCCAGCTCCTTCCTCAGGCCTCTCCTTTGTAACATAGCTGAGAGCTCCCTCCTGTTTGGCTGCCAGTCAGTAACTGCTCCTGGCCTCCTGCCTGGGATTTATATAGGAGCCAGGCCCTGCCCCTTCTCATCAGCTGGCTAGGCAGGTGAGGATCATTAGCTCCCCCTAGTTGCCTCAGCAACCGGCACCTGAGGTTCCCGGCTCTCTCAGTAGCAGGCACCTTAGTGCCCTGCTACATACCTCCCCCCTTAAGATTTCAACTCACCAGGCCGTTTTGGTTTTTTTTCTGCTGCGCATCTTCTGTCTTTTCTGCTCATGCTTTTAGGCTGGCCCACCGACACTTCCAACGCGTGGAGATGGAGGTTTTCAGGTGCCTCCTACTCGCCTTTTACCCCAGGCGCATCATGTGGGATTTTACGGGAGTTGCCCCGCCACGAGCAGTCCCCCCACACTAGCCGACCTTGGTAGGTTGCAGTCCTTGTCGGTCGGGCTCCCACCTCCCTTTTGGGGTTTCTTCTCACTTGTGACCTGTCTACCTTCCACCCCTGCATACCTTGGTCTCTTTCTCCAGGTAGGTTGTGTGGTCTCTGGCTTTTCTATGGCTCTCTGGAGCCCCTGAAGCCTTTCCCAGATCTCCCACTGTCTCTCCAATGCCTTCTGGGCATATTCTTCCCTCCAAAACTCTATCTTCCCTCAGCCAGTAGGTCTTCCTTTAGGCCCTTTATAAATTTTTACATAGGCCACACCTCCGACTGTTGTTTTCATGAGTTTCCTTAATGTCCACCACTGGACCTGCCTCGGGATGTTATTTACATATACTTGTGGTCTTCTCTCAAGCTTTGGTACCACTTCGGGTGGTCGTTCCCTCCTCTGGCTCTTGGACCTGGCTTTCTTTTCTGGGTCTCACTGACCCTTTTTCTCTGGAACTCGTCTCTGACTCCTTTTGTCTCAGGCCTTGTGTCACCTGTATACCTCTGTGGCTAACCTGCCGACATGTCTCGCTCCTTGGGCTAGCCTGCGCACTTCTCTCTGCCGTCCCTGCAGCTATCGTGTCCCCTTCCACTAGCTGCCTCTGCCTGGGTGCTGTAATTCCTCCCTTGGCTCGAGGTTTACAGAGCTCACCCAGCTGATGTCTTAGGCGGCTCATCTCCCTTGCATGAAGCTTCACCCATTGGTCCCATCTCCTATTCCAGCACTCCACGAGGGCTGGTAGGACTTCTTGTAGGGCCATAGGTTTCACCCCTACCGATCCCTTCTCTGGGTTGCTTCTCTCCGATTGCCCTAACTCGGTCTCTTCTTCTGGATCCTCCTGGCCTTGGTCATCAGGGAACTTTATTTGTTCCGGAGGCTTCCGGACCCCTAGCCGCATGGTTGTTAGTTGCGTCTCCACTTCCCTTAGGGACCTTTTTACCACTTCCAGTTCCTGGTGTTGCTCTAGGCATTTAGCCTTCGCTGTGGTCACACATTCCGCCAGTTGGGCTCCCAGTGTCTCCAGCCTCTTTTGCATCGCTTCTACCCATTCCACTACTTGAGCCTCTGGTCCTCCTTCAGTCTGGGTTTCTGTACTTGTTAACTCTGGCCCCTCTGACTCCTCAGGATCTTGGCCTTTTGATGCTGTCTGACTGCTGGCTGCCCGTAGCGTCTCATTTTCTGCCTCTAAGGCCTGAATCTGCTGATTTAGAATCTGTATTTGCTGCTGTGACTGCTCCCTCTCTGCGTTAGTCACGGCCTCTCTAGCCACGTTATCTTCTATGAGGGATTTAAGGCACTGTACCTGTTCTCCCATGTGGTCTCTTTCCGCCTCCACACTCTGCAACTGAGACCGTAACCTCTCAATCTATTTTGTCCCAGCTTCTAACTCTCTTTCAAGGGACAAGCTTCGATTGTATAGGTCCTCGTAACTTGCCAGGTTAGCATTTACTTTCTCCATCTCCTGTGCAAAAACCTTGCCTGTTTCTTTTGCTTGGGCATGGCTTTTAAGCAGCTCGTCCGCAGCTCCTGTGCTTGGTGTTCTGCACGAAAGCACTTCTGTTGCCACTCATCCAACTCATCATGCAGTTCCTGTACACGATCTTCCTGGCTGCGGACTTCTTTCTGAAGGACATCAATCACGCTTTTAGAGACCTCCAACCTCTGTAGCATCTCCTTCTGTCCCCCTACCTGTGTTGTGCAGGTTGCAGTAGATTTTTCTCTCCAAGCTGTCATCTCCCTCTGCATTTTCTGCAGCTTCTCTTCCCTCTCCTAGCTCTTCTGGGTTCCATTTGCAGTAAGCTGCTCTAGTGCGCGAGTTCTCTCCGCTTCCGCCGCTATCATGTGCCTGATTTCTTTTGAGCCTCCTTCCTTTTTTCCTGCCTAGGCCCGCTGTTCTGACCCAACAGCCTTTGCCTCTGCTTGCTGTTTCTGAAATTGGGCCACCTCTAGCTCCCACTCCAGCCGTTCAGTTCTTTCTTCTAACTCATCTATTCGTAATAGCCTGGCAAAATTCCCCTGTTTCAGGCTCTCTATATCCCCTGCCGTTCCCATCCTGGCCTCACGCCTTCACTGGTCGGGCCCTCAGGCTTCCCCAGTACCGTCCCAGGGCAGTCTTCCTACTTTGCCCTCTTTACAGTTTGAGTTGCCACTGTCTTCTTACAACCCCCTCTCTGTCCTTATTTTAGCCCTCAGGTTCGTCTTTTCGTGCATGGCCTTACGTTCCCGGCCAATGCACCACTGTAACAGGAAGGCGGTCAGGGTCGCCGTGCACTCCCCTGTCACCTCCTTTACCGTGTCTTGTTGCCAACTGGCATCGTCCGATTCTCGCCCACCACGACAGGAAACCCTCGCTGTTCACAGATTTGTGATTCACGGTTTCGAATATTCGCAGTGCGCCATGCCAACTCATGCTGTCTCCCCATGCAGCGTGATGACACTTTGTTACTGCACTCTGGTGATACTTTTACATTCAGTAAGCTTGCGAGTGGACTTAACGCAGCCTCGGTAGGTAGAATGTATGGCATTAACAAGTCCAGTGTGCGATACATTAAGAAAAAAGTCAGTCTCCACCCCCCACCCCCACCGCGCTCCCGCCGCCACCAGCTCAACTGTGCCCCCCGCAGCTGCCGGGGACATGCATTGTTTATGTATCTCCAGCCTGTTTATCCTAGCCTATTATTGGTAGAGTACAGTATTCACAAATTTCCCCATTTGCAGGGATCTCTAGAACGTATCCCCCATGAATGGCGAGGGTCTCCTTTACATCCATCTAGGTTTATCTTAAACCATTTTTTGCCATTTTGAAAACAGTGTATGTGCACTGTTCTGTTGTATTACAGATTTGAACCAGTTTCCAATCGCTTACACTGGCTTATGCACAATTTCTGTCTGTAGCCCTACAGTTAAATGCAGTGCCAGATTCTGATTTCTAACAAGGATGCTTTGGGTCAGGTCTTTCTGACTTATGCTTCTCTAAGGCTGTTTAAGGGATGTTGCTGAGCAAATGCAGTAGATAGCATTACATTGCATATATTTTAGTGCGATCAGAAATACAATTAACCATTAAGACCTTTTGCTGGTAAGTGTTGGCAGGGATGGGCCTTTTGTACCATATGATCCTTAGCCAGTTTGAAATTATGCACAGGAAGAGAGATTTAGTTTGACTTCACTGAAGTTAACTTACTATGATTTCATATTAATTATTATTTAGATGGAGGTCTGATGTTTTATAGGATCTAATTAAGCTAATCCAAAGCAATGTGTGACGATTAGTATCAGCTGTGTGTATAAATACTGTGATTGGGGAGCCTGATTTGCATGACTTTGTCTTTCACATCTTCATGTTCCTTCAGTAAGCAGAGCTGAGCAGCATGAACTCAATACATAACACAGAATCTATGTGCAACTGCCATTGCTGCTGTAAGTTTGCAGTTCCGTAGACCAGGGGTTTGTAAACTGTGGTACGCATACCCCTGGGGGTATGCAAGACATCTCTGGGGGGTATGCAGGAGAAATTGTGTAATACTGGATTTCATTTTCAGTATAATTGGCATTTAAGCGGTTAAAATATTATATGTATGATGGTAGCGGGATGCAGGCAGCTGGTAAATCTGGAAGAGGGTATTCAATAAAAAAAACATTTGGGAATCTCTGAGATAGAGGAACTTTGTAATTCAGTCAAATCCCATTGTATTCAGTGCATTTTAATAAATGCCCTTTAACTCAGTTCTCAGATGCCAAGCAGGTAATATGGTACAACATGCATTTTCTTTTATATTAGTCTACCAAGCATGTCATTTGCTCTCAAAACTCTCTGCTTAGAAAGAGGTGATAGCACCACATTTTATCATATCATTAAAGATGGGGATATGTGATTATGTCCAGTTACATGTTGTATTCTGTTCTTTAAAAAGGCTTCAGGGTGCCATTTCATAATCACACTATGACAGCTCAGGACTAGCAGTATCAGCCTACAGAGAACTTGGTGAAGTCTGGGCTAAGATACATTTCTTGAAATTGAGCTGTATTTTTGCAATCATTTAAATTTATTTATATAGATGAGTCATTGGAAGGATTTTGTTGTTATTGTTCTCTTTCTTCAGCAACTTTGAATGCCCACTGATGTATGAAGTCTCAGAAAACCAAGGAAGCGGCACAGACAGTTCAGGAAGCAGTTTGGACAGCTGTGTCACAGCATGTAAGAAGGTAAATTTAAAATTTACATTATTTTCAAATGCCAATCTAGCCAACACTGCAGCTCTGCAATTTAGCTCTTGCATTGGCAGGGATTACAAAACAATTTTGTATGCAAAATCAAAAGGTAATGATAGGGGGAAAAATAAACATTATAACTGCCGTGCTGTTGTAGGATTTTGCAGTCTTACTTGACTATGCTGGTCAGTGATTTCTGACCCTAGAAATATTTTACATGCATGTGTGGCATGTAATTTTTCATAGGTGATTTTTCATAGGTGATTTTCTACTTTTTTTTCCTTTTTACCTGAAGCAAGGAAATAAAAGCAATAGGTAGTGCAAGTGCTCTCTGAACTATATTGTAATTGGGTTCCAGACCTGTAGGCAAGGCTCTAGAACCTGACAGCCTTCTCTGACTCCACTTGATATGTTCCACAGGTATAAAAGGGTTCAAACATTTTTCTGAGACAGAGGGACCAAAATATTCATTTCACTATTTGACATAAGGTTAAGTTTAAGCTAGAAGCAATGTGCATGAGTGTGGGCAGGACTGATGTTTATTTATACATGCAGGTATTTCAGCATGAATGAGAATACACTACTGAAGAACCTCATACCATACTGAAATGCATGTAATGTTTTATAGAGCAGGATTGCAACTCTGTTGTGGTGATGCAGACATAAGGGGGAGGATGCTAGCAGAAAGCCTTAGAAGAGGTGAGGCTTGCAGTCCATGGCCATTCAGGAACAGCTTAAACAGTGCTTCCTTCTTCGAGGAAGAACTCAATAGCTTGTTCAAAGAGTCCAGTTACTGTTTCACAAGAGATTTAGCAAAATTCTTTCACATCTCCCATAACTGCTCCTCCCTACCCCCCCACCCCCGCAATCAGATTTAGGGCAAAAGTTATTTTTCAAAAAAAACAAACAATTGTATTAAATATTATATTAAACAATTATATATATTGGCTTTCTTGAAAAACAATAATTTTGTATAAAATATACATATACACACACACCTTGAAAAGTTGAAACTTACTGTACATTTTGCTTTTTTGGTAGTTTTCTCACTGAGAATGAGAAAATGTGTTTTGCTCAAACAGCTATTTACAGTGAAATTTCAACAACCACTCTTTGAAACCAGTGCTGCTTCTGAGGCAGAGCAGCGCCAACTTATCTCCAGCACAGGGCATCAGCTAAGAGCCATAGCAGAGATCTTAATGGGAAAGGGAAGTAGGTTGTTTTAATTTATTTGCGTTAGTTTATATGCAAGTTCATTCCCTATTTTTAGAGGGAAAAAACCCATGTTTGCCACTAAGTGTAAATGGTATCTTGATACTCCTTGTATTTTGCCTGTCAATAAAAATATTAAAGAATATTGAATAATCACAAAGCAACGTACACCATTAACCTGAGAAGCAGCTACTTACATGCAACTGAAAAACACTGTCAGGATGCAGAGGGTGAGAAGGTTATGTTGCTGTTGTATATGGCCTTACCTTTCAGTTGATCAGTCTTGTACCTTCAGAGACACTGAGCTTGCTTCAGAGTTTTAAAGGGTAACCCCCTCACCTGTAACATAGCGATGTTTCATCTGCCCACACCCTTGCATTTATGCTTTCAATTATAAACCATGAATCTAATTTTTCATTGAACAGTCATGCTAAAAGAAGCAATTCAGCTTTGTCCTGCTTTTATCCAAGTGTTGACATTTCAGCCATATTAATAGCATTTTTACAGAATGGTTTTCTTCTGGAACTGTTTTCTTGTGGATAAAAGCATATACAAGATCAAGTCAGTACAACACTCTCTCTTTCATAATGATGTTAATTAAAAAGGATTAATATAAATTTGTAATTACTGGTGGATTGGAGCTGCCTTGGGTTCCCACTGGCAGGGAGCAATTTAGGCATTCCAGACAATCCAGTAGCTATTTTTGTCATGAAGGGTTCCTGTTAGGCCAGCATGAGATGCTGACTGTTACTGCCTAGACAGAGCTAAAAAAAATTCAGGAGATACACCCCTTGATATCTCATTTTATTCTGCATGCATCACTTTCATATCTTTTTGATGAGTAGTAATTAACCAAAGCAATTAAGATCATCAGGCCTGAACAAGCAGATGTCTTATTTGCAGAGCAGAGCCTTTTTGATGTTGTCTCAATTGTAGATATTTACTTATTTTAAATGTCTAGTGATCTAATCAGGGAACAGGAAGCTGTTAAACTGAATGTTTATGCAGTATTCTTCCCTGGGGAGGAGTGACTTTTCAACTCTGTGCTTTGCTAGGGGGCAGTTTGGTTCATTGACTCACAACACTGAAAGATGCTGATGGTCTAGATCCAGGTGTCAAAAATGCAGCCTGTGAAGCAGTACAGTTTGGCCTGTGGGTCACTAGATGTTCCCCATGTACTGGCCCTGGTGTTGCATGCTACACCTTGTACACAGCACAAAGGAACAGTTCAAGGCACGCTCTGCATGCAGCACCTTGCCAGACCAGCCATGCATGCTGGCTCCAGGACTGGTCAGGATTGGGTTGTGCCAGAACCAGCACAAAGAGCTTGTCTGGCAGGGCGCTGCATGCAGCGTTGCTCCCCACATCCCCCAGCCACCTGTGCCACATGCAGCATGTGCAGCCAGTCCAGTCCCAGCACTGTGAGCAGCAGGCACCATGTAGCATGCAAGCCTAGCATGGGGTACGCACGGCCTCTGGCATGAGGGCTGGACCCACACTGCGCATGGCACAGGGGGTCCAGAGTGTGGGCTGCAGGCAGCATCCTGGATTGACCCCCTGTGCTACCTGAAGCACTGGGTCCAGCTCATGTCATGGGCAGCATGGTCCCCATGCCCATCTCATGTGGTGTTTTCCTAGCAAGCCCTGTGACCAGTATGTGTTGCATGCGGCATGAAGGCTGGACCCATTGCTGCACAGGGGTTAGTCCTGGCCCAGCCAGAAGACCAGCCCAAGCAACCCGCATTTGATCCACAGGGCCAAATGAGTTTGACACCCTGGTCTAGAGGAGCCAAGGCAGACCCTCCCTTTCAGTTGACCACACCGCGGGAGAAGCATCCAGGGATCGTTTCAAGCCCCTGAAGTGAGAACTCCCCTTTCCCTTCCCCTCCATGCTCAGCAGCACCTCCTCTGCCCTTCCCTGCCCACTGTTTTTGCTGTCTCTGGCTTCCCTGGTGTATGGGGGAGAGGGGTGCCCGTGATGGGAATGGAAAACTTTTTTTAGAACAATGAATTACTGCTGATTTCACTTTAAATTTAGGATAAATCTGCATCATATGCTATTTTCCAAATGTGATGATTCCGCTGCATACCAGATACACAGTGTATATGCTGCTGCACATAAGGATATTATTTGAATCAAGTTCTGCTTTCAGTTAAACCACTGTAAAGCGAAAGCAACTTCTTTGATTTCAGAAAAATTGCCATACATAAGTCAGACTGGTCTGTAATTTAGTTCAATAGTAAATCATTCAACATTAAGATTCTAGTAAGTTTACATACGTTGTAGGTAAAGAGATCATAGATCAAGCCTGAGATGGTCTTTTAAATCTAAGAGAATGCATATTGTCACATATGGGTCATGCCATATGATGTTTTAACTGATACTGATCAGAAAAGTCCAATGTTCATGCAGTTCCTATCACTGCATATTAGGCACTACAGGAAGACTGTTAGTGAACATTACTCACACGGTGTTTCAGATTATTCCCTGTCACAGAAGCAATAGGAGAAAGGTCTGAAGGTAAAAATATTCACAAGGTTCCTGTTGCAGAGATCCCCTACCTCAAAGGAAAAATCTATGAGGACTTCCCATTTGCTGCCCTGATTGGCATCTTCCTTCTTCCACAGAAACATGCCACAGAGATCTGTGGGATAGACGCCCCACCCCATGTCTCCGTAGCATCTTTGATCCTCATCCATCCTTTTTCTTGGGAGATACAGTCCAGCCCCAAACTTTGATTAACTTTCTTAGTTAACAAAGAGGACAATAGGCCTGCTTCTTCTATAGAAGCAGCAGTCAAGTATTTACCACATTCCTCTGCATAAATATAAGACATTTTCTTCTTGTCGGCATCTCTACCCCTTTCAATCCAAATGGCCTCAGCAAACGCATATGATCCTGGGCCTTTTTCTAAACCAAAAGGAGAGTTCTCTCTTTCAGATCTGTTCTGATATTCCAGAGTTGTGTACATATTGCATTCTTCCCTGCATTTCCAAAGGTGGAAGCAAATTCTGCACCAAATGCATGCATATGGTTCCAGCTGACTGACATGGGCGTTATTTATGTCTGAGGGCAGAATCTGGTCCAAAGAGAATGTTTTCCTTCTGTTGCAATTCAGCTCATCTGATTGACTATGAAACAGAGACATATCCAGAGGTGGGATTCAGTACCGTAGTGACATGCACTCCCTTTCAGGCCATGCCTTGAGAGCAGCAGTCAGGGACTTAAGACCATGAATCGTGTAAGAATTCCCCACCCCCTTTTTCTTTTTTGTGCTCAGCAGCATATCTGCCCTCCCCACCCTGACCCCAGAGCCCACCTGCCCCTGCTGCTGCCGCCGCCACTGTCCCTGACTGACTTCTGGGCAGTGGGAGGGGGAAGCTGAAAGCAGGGCTGCAGCCAATCCTGCAGCATTAACTCCTGCACTATCCTTTACAAAATCCTGAATCTGCCCATGCTAGGAATGGAGTCCTGGCCTTGCTTTCAAATCAGACTTTCATATTCATATGTCTTTTTTTTTTATCCTCATCTCCATGAAAAGAATTGCATACAAATAACAAAACCAGCAAGAAGTTCAATGTACCAAACTGTCAGCTTATCTTGTGCTATTCCAGGGGTGGCCAGAGTTACTCACCCTGGGAGCCACATCCAATCCTCCACTGAAGTCAGAGAGTGGGGGGAGGGGGCTGGTCACCCCCTGTACCGCCAGGCCAATGCACCGCTTTGCCTGTGGGAAGCATGCCCCGGGATAAGTGCCGGGCTGCGCTGTCCCCTGGAGCTG